TTTTGAGTGGCTGGTGAGGACTCCCCTGAGCTTGACTCCAAGCCTGTTGGTGGTCTGTTGGTGGTTATCCCCGAGGTTTCCCAGCTCATCAGAGTTTGAAGGAGAGTCCTGGGACCCCACTTCCAGTTCAGAGCTGAGCCTCCAAGTTGGGACCTGGAACTTGGGTCTCCAACCTCTGGGTCTGGAGAAATGAGAGAAAATCTCTTACCTTTAGTCCATTTGAATTCTTCCTAAACTCTCCCACACTCCCAGAAAGCCAACCAGAGAAATCAGAGGACACTGAAGGATTGAAGGCAGACTGGACAGAGGACTTGTCCAGTCTGTCTGTCACTGAAGGGAGGCATTGCTGGTGATTTGGAAACTCACTGAGAAAAGGCCAGCTCAGCTGATTTGCTGCTTATCGTATCTCCTGACATGTGCTTGAACTTGTCTTTCATTTGTTCTTCTTGCCCCATCAAAATTCTTTTTCTTCTTTGCCACCACCCCACTAGGCTTTTGATTTTCCAAGTTCTTTGGCTCCTTCCCATTAGGGCTGTCAATTGAATAACTTTTTTTCTGCAATAAAAATGTTTCTTGGACTGTTGCCCTTTATGGTGGCCATTCATTTATGTCCCTTAAATACATTTTATTATCCATGGTTAGTGAATATTATATAAAACAGACAGAATATTGAAGGATGAGATAATATATAACAAAATGCCCAAATGTTTGCAGTATAAGTGAAATCTGAGTGAAAGGACATTTATTTTTATTTATTTTTTTGCTTTAGTATCTTTTTAAAGAAATTTTATTAGTGAAACATCATGAGTTCCTCATGATGACTTACAAATTTTTGTGCTTGGGTTTCAGTTATACAATGATCAAGTACCCATCCCTCTACCAGTGCCCATTCTCCACCACCAATGATCCCATTATCCTTTCCACCCCTCCACCCCCGCCACCCCGCCTCTGAGGGAGGGCATTCTGAAAGAGGGACATTTAGAATATAGTCATTGGTACGTCACAGAAAAAAAGTGTGATTTGGACATATTTGTAGTTTTTGTTAAGTATTGTAGCAAAAAAAAGTTTAAAGTTAGTTAAGGTGTCTATTTGTAAATGAAGAAGAAGAAATGTTTACATTGGAAAGAAACATGATCAAAATGACTGGGACAGTTACAAAATTGTTCATGATGGAGTTTCAGTCATACAGTGTTCCAACACACTCTCCCTTTTTTTTTCTTGGTACAGGGTCCACTCTTGGCAGTGCTTGGGGGAGTCTGGGGCTCTTGTTTAATAGAGCTCAGCCAAGAGGCTATTTAGGAAGGAGATCATGGGGATTGAACTCAGGACCTTGTGCACGCTAGAGTTTGCTCTACCATTTAAGCTCTTAGTGGATCATGTCTCCAGTAATAATTTTGATTACTTGTTTGTTTGGGGGCTCCACCCAGCTATTCTCAGGGTTTATTCCTGGCTCTGCACTCAGGGATCACTTCTAGCAGTGCTTGGGGAGTGGTGCCAGGAACTGAACCAGAGTTGACCACATTCCTGGCAAATGCCCTCCTCACTGTACTCTCTCTCTCTCTCTCTCTCTCTCTCTCTCTCTCTCTCTCTCTCTCTGTGTCCCTACATTATCAATAATTCTGAACAAGATTACTCTGACTTTGTTAAGGGAAAGTATTTTATAACTGATATTGAGGGTAGGCATGAATAGTATGCATCAGTAATATGCTTGGAAATTAAATAAAGTCAAGTGCAGAATCTTCTGGGTAGCACATCTCCTCACCGCATATAAAACAACACACTCCGATACCCCAGACAACCACTCTGGGGCAAAAGGGACCTTTGGGAATTTTTGTTAGTGATGGTTTCTTTTAGAAAAGAAAAATATTCTTGTTAGCATTGGAGCGGTGGGTAGTGCTCTCCCTTATTTATGGAATGTGGAGACTATGTGCATGTGTAGATTGTTGGAAAGAAAAAACTGAAGAGATGTCAGGTAGTGAGCTCTGCTCTGCACCTTCCCAGCTCGTGTGATGCCTTGGGAGAGAATAGAAAGACATATTGATCAGACTTCCATGTTACGTTACACATATGCCTGTGCGCGCGGGTGCATGCACATGCACACACACACATTCACACTGCTACTCATGATTTTCTTTTTCTTCTGTCTTTTTCAGTTCTTCACTTGGAACTTCTAGCTGTGATCTGAGAGTTAAAGAAGAAAAACAAAAAACCTTGGGATGGGGGAGGGGAGGAAATAAGTTAAGGCTTATAATAGGAAAATGAAGCCAGAGTGAAAACCTTGAGGTCCCTTTTCATCTCTTGTAATCATGGATCCTTCTCTTTCTTCCAGTTCCATCTTTCCTTCAATCTTCTCTGATTTCTCTGGCTTGTATGAACTTTGGGAGGTGCGGGGGTAAGGGAGCGTTCAAGTGAACTAAAGGTGAGAGAATTTTAGCTAGATTCTCTAAGCCCAAATTCCGGGTCCTAACTTGGAGATTCTGAACCTAAAGTTGGGCCCTAGGACTCTCCTTGTAGCTTTGGATACAAGATTGCTATATTTCTGCTTCAGGGACTCTGAGAGACAGTGTAAATACACAGCTCTTTGGCTTCTGGGTCTACTAGGTAGTGTTTTCATTCATATGGTCTTCTGGCTTGCTTTTCCTTTCTCAAATGTGACTTGCTTAATTCAGACTGTCACTTCAATTCTCTCCTGTGTTTTCCTCACGATGGAGTTTCTGCACTCGTGACATATTTAGATAGTTCAGGTATCTGCCTCAGAAGTGTGGTTGGATAAGAATCAACCAAGTAAGATGCACTTTTCTCTGGGATAATACAGAGTCCCTGAGGAAAGAGGGCCAGGGAGTCACACCAGGAGGAAGGAGAGGATCGTTTTCTAGAAAGAACACTGTACTAGGAGTCAAGGAACTGATGTTCTATTTCTGCTAAGACTCACTTGCCAGTGTGTGACCTTGGCTGAGGTAGTTAGCCTGCATGCACCATGTTCTCACCCTCTGAGAAGTTTGTGTGCGAAGTTCCTTGGCAGACTCACTAATGGAATCGTGGAGACATGTTTCTATTTTGGATTTAGAGTCTACTGGCACAATGTATTTCTCCTCCAACTCTGCAAGATCTGACTGAGCTGGAAGCAGACTCAGATGCTTCTGCCTTTCCAACTGATAGAATCAACCTACTAAACCCCCACACTCTGGTTTTCCTCTTTTATAAGCTGCATAAATGAAAGGCCTTGGCATTTTCACAGCACATGCTGGCTCAGCAATGGTGACACGGAGGAGAGGGTTAGAGTTGGATCCCAGGAAGTGATAATGTGACAGGGCATGAGGGGACACAGAGCCTGTTTCATGGAGCGTTCCCCCTCCCCCCAAAGGTGCCCCTACAACATGGTGCTCTGTGGTGAAGGATCATTGATGACTGTCGACAGGGTCTTAGGAATTGGAGGTTGGGAATTCATTGGTTTAAGTGATAAAATATAGTTGTGTGATGGGTAACCCTTCCAATAGATCTTCCTCTATGGCCTCATCTTCTATTTACCTTGACTGGTGTTTGTACCTCTGAAGGATTAGTTCTGATACTTTTTCTCTGTTATGTTCCCCCCCCCCCCCCACCACTTTTTATTTTGACATCCTTTCCTGTTAAGCTCTCAGCCTTCCACTTTACACCAGGAATACTTGTTTGAATGTTCCTTCACCAGAAGCACTTTCCTTGGTGTTTTTCCTTTTACCCCCTCCCCTCAGGAGGAGCTAGGTCCAGAAGTTTAACCCAAATTATCCCCTCAAGCCCTTCCTCACATTGGATTGTTTAGAAGAGGAATCATTGGCCATGTTCTTCCCAGTCATATCCTTTTTTACATATTATTCCATTGAAAATAACCTTTTCTTTTCTTTGAGAAGTTTTATCATGGATTTTGTTTTCCACTAATCATTGTAATGGAATGACTTTTCTCTGAACTCTCTCTAATCTGCACCCTGAAAAAATGCTTTTGTGAAGAGGTTTTGTGGGCTGAGCAAACAGATAGAATATCACTGTCTTACTACCTTTGTCTGGGAGCAAGGCCTAGTCCTCTGAATTTTCCTCACTGTACATTCTGCAGAATCAGTATCTCTTTTACTAAAAGCTGGTTATGTTATAGTCGGGTTTTCTTCATATCACACCCCCTTAAATTCACTCTTTATTTGTAATTGTGCTACCTTGTATTCACACCTACTGAGCACTTGTTTTTGATGGATCATTTCTTGCTCTGATTTGTCAAGGTGACATAGAATTCTATTATTTTTTCAGGAAAGCTAGGAACCTAACTTAGTTTGTAGCCACAAAATAACTGAGAATGCTTTCAATTCTATTATACTGTCATCGATTTTTTTTAAAAAAATTCAATCATTTTGGACTTATGAGTTTGAGTGCTGTTTCATAACCACTCCGACTTGCTTTAAGATATTTGTTTCTGTCACTGTTAACTAATTGTTTTCCCATTTTGGGGTGTTTTTACACTTCAGAGGCATGGGTAGCATAGATTCTTACATGATTATAGAAACTAGATTAGAATTCTTACATTTTTTAGAAAACATTTTATTAAGGTACTGTCATGTACAAAGTTACTCATGATTAAGTTTCAGGCATGCAACATTTCAGTGCCAATCCACCAGTGTCAACTTCCTTCCACCAATGTTCCCAGTTTCTCCTCCTACCCACAAAGGATTCAAATGTTTGATAATTATTATCTAGGGGTCTGTGATTGGTAATGGAAGTGAATATAAACCCAATAGTTGTCTCATTAACACAGGCAGCTTTGGTAGCATAGTTATTTGACACTTTCAGTAGCAAGGTGAAAGAAAAGAGGGTAACCTTTAGACTCAATAGAAACATTTGTTTTGTGTCTCTTTTGTTCTCTGTTGGGCTTTGCCCACCTATGCTTTGATTCAGATTTGCCCTTGTCAGTGTTCTCTCTCATACAGGAATATAATAAGATACATTTTTTTTTGTTGTTGTTGCTATTGTCATTGCAGGTTTTGGAAGGCACCAGTGAAATGAGAGGAAGTTCTGTTTCTGATGTGAGACCTGAGAGTACATGACTACTTGCCAAATTTTGGGGACTATGAAATATGACTTAGAAGCTCTGATTGATGAAGGATTATGATGTCATCGGTTGCAACAGAAAGCAAACTCCAGCAGGCTGTCAGCCTGCAGGGAGTTGACCCAGAAACATGCATGATTGTTTTTAAAAACCACTGGGCACAGGTAATGTTTGGGTCCCACCTTCTCTGCTGCTCTCCGTGGCCCACACGATCTCCCTCACTGTCAGTCAAGGCTTTCTACCTCTGTGATAGCTCTGTGTCCAGAAACAGCAAGAAAAAAACCCTGTCTTCCAGAGAGGGGTGAGAGGAGCTCTCCTTTAGCACCCTTGCTTTTCTAGGCTAGATGGGTGCTGGTGGAGGGATGGGTACCTGATCATTGTATAACTGAAACCCAAGCACAAAAATTTGTAAGTCTATAATTGTACCTCATGGTATTTCACTAATAAAAAATAAAATAAAATAAAATAAAATAAAGTAAATCATAGTTTTCACCAAGGCAGGTAGGGAACACGAACTTTCCTGAGGTATTTTTAGAGGAACAGTGGTTGGCCTCAAAGTGATTTTTATATTACTTTGCAATGTACTTAACTCTGATTATATCCCCTTCCTTTCCCTTCTCCCTGCTGATTTCCCACTAGTCTTAAACTCTGACCATTCTAGCCTACATATTTATGAAATATTTACCAAGTACTGTGCTGAGTACTCCAAATGCCTTCTATCGTTTAATTTCCACAAACCCACCAGATTCCTCCATTTACAGATGAGGGAATGGAAAAATCACAGAGGTTAAAGAGCTTGCTCGAGGTTAAGCAGCTAGTCAGTGTCTACGCAGGAACTTAGACCTAGGTCCTTGACTCTGAGGCCTCTCTGTTGACCTATGTGCTCTACCTTTCCTCCCTGCTGGTGGTGTCTGTGCCAAGGAAAGATGATACCTGGTGGTGATGTTGATGATACCTGGTGGTGACCTTCATCACAAAGGTGCTTATAAATATTTAAAAAAACATTATTGTTGGCCTTGACTTCTCTGTGACTCTTCTCTGATCTGCTCATATGGATAATTAGGGTGGAATATTCAGACATTTTACCATCTCCTCCTTTTCCTCAGGGAGTTTCCAAGTAGTAAAATAAAATTGGTTTTCTTTACTACTTATCCAACATTATGCTCCCCAGGTGAGCTAGTAAATGGCTCTCCACGGACAATTTTTTAATGACTACCTGGTTCCTTCCTGTGGCCAGAAACAATGCCTGGGTTAGAGCACTGTGCCTGTAAATCAGAGCAATTAGAGGAGATGCAGTTTAAATCAAATTGACATCACTGCTGCACGGGTGCATTTGGACTGTGTAGCCTCTTGTCACTATCCAAGGGTAAAGTTTCCAAGTTTTTAAATGCATTTTCTATTCTTTGACTTTTTACTTTTATAATCTTAATGGGGTTTCTCTGAATATTAAGGGAAGCATCTGCTTTAGCAAAGGGAAGAAAGTACTTCAGGAGATTTCCCAATACAGTCAAATTATCTTGGGAAGTATTTTTTTTTTTTTTAGATTTTTATTAGTGAAACACCATGAGGTACAGTTGTATATTTACAGATTTTTGTGCTTGGGTTTCAGTTATACAATGATCGAATACCCATCCCTCCACCAGCGCCCATTCTCCACCACCACGGGTCCCAGCATCCCTCCCCCCTGCCCCCCCCCATCCGACCCTGCCTCTGTGGCAGGGCATTCCCCTTTGTTCTCTCTTTCTCCTTTTGGGTGCTGTGGACTTAAACATATTTAATACTATGGCTGAACCCTAAGGAATGTGTCCAAGAGCCCATTTGGTGTGGAAAGGGGATATGAGAAGGGCTATTTTGTTTTTTTATATCAAATTTTAAAAAATTTTATATGTATAGTAGTACAGAATATATTTGTGCAGTTTTGCATGTATTTTACTGATGTTTTAAATTCTTTGTCATTCAATATTTTAACTGGTAGGAGTGCACAATAAGATATTTGACACTCGGAAGATATTTATTTATTTATTGGTTTTTGGGCCACACCCAGTGATGATCAGGAGTTACTCCTGACTCTACACTCAGGAATCACTCCTGGAGGTCTAGGAGCATTTTTAGCCTTAACTGTTAGAGTGGGCCCAACAAGTCTTTCATTTTAATATGAATGCTTCGCTCCAGACTTGTTTCATTTGTTTGTGAGTGATGCCATGGATTGTTATCATTCCTGCTGGAGTAGCTGATGTGACCATTTAGTATTCAGTTGGATGTGATCTGTTCAGAATTCTGGGGTTCGGGCATGCCTTGTGAAGTTCTGTCCCAGTCAAGCTTTCTCCAAAACTGTTGGTGTGTTTTTAAGTGTGCCTCAATTCAGGAATAAATCCATATATTCTTCCTCGTTGGTGAAGGAATAAATACTCATCCCTAAATCACTGCTCATTTTTATATCCAGGAGGAATAATTTCAGCATGATCAGACATTTGTGGAAATCTGAAGTGTAGCACTTTCCTTGACTGCTGCACTCTCCTTTTAGTGCAGAAAGATACTGATTTAGGGATAAGGATGACTTTGTCAGAGGGAATGGTGTTTGTTTACTTCCTTTTGTAAAGTGCTGATTCTCTTGGACATTAAAATTTGGAAAAGTTTTTAGTCGTGACTTTTTAAATAATTTGAAGGCTGCCGTATTCTCTCTCTCTCTCTCTCTCTCTCTCTCTCTCTCTCTCTCTCTCTCTCTCTCTCTCTCTCTCCTTCCCCAACGCGTGATACCCACTAGGCTGCAGAATATATCTACTCTTCTTTATGCCTAATTTAGGGTTAGTGTCTTAGACTGTTTTAATGATGGTGTGCCAACCAGGTTTCTGTATTGCAATATTTCAGGCTTCCATAGGTCCTAAGAAGATAAAGCATGAAGACACAGCTCTTGCTTTATCTTGTTTTATCCCAGCATTACATATGTCTCTGTAGTCCTGTACTGGGTTGGGGTATCCCCCAACTTGTGCCGGGGCTCCTATGTTATTAGGCTGTGTCTGAGAAACACTTCAGGAAAACTCCGGTGAGAACCAGTGCACAAGGACGAAAGACAAAGCTATGAAATTGAGCAAGGACTGGCTCAACATTCAGATTGGTTGTAGTCATCAGGGACATTCAATGAAATTTGGCTGAAGATCATGAAATCCTGCCCTTCTAGGAGATAAGAAATGTTGCTGTTATCTTACTTTGTCCATGATACCACTTTAAATCAGCCTTCAATGGGATCGCAAAGAAAACAGATATTCTTGAGGCTTTCTTGAAGTGACCAGGCTTTGGCCAAAGGAACATAAATTGTCACCTGCTGGTACGTGCATGTGTGTAAGATAGGACGTGTGTGTTCAGGGGAAGCGGAAGCCAAGTTCTCAGCAGAGAAATGCTTGTGTTTGTCTTGGGAAGGAAGCCACTAGCAGCTGACTTAGGGAGCTCTCTCATTCAGAAAGCTTTGAGAATTCCAGAATGTTTGTCAAATTCAACTGACTGCTGGTAGGAGTGACCTTCGTTAGACTATAGGAATGGTTGATAATCCTTCAGTCTGGGGAACTGGTTGATTTCTTTCCAAAGAAATGCTATTTGTTTCTCCTATTCATCTGCTGTCACTCTCAGATTTATAAGTCAAGGTTCTTTGAAATTAAATTGAAATCTAGCCATATGCATTAGCTTAGAATTTGTAGGCCATTGTTCCAAATATTGATTGTATTTGTTTCTTTTTAGAATGACTGTCATTTCCATGTGGATCTGTATGTGATCCAGGCTCGTGAGTCACATGTTTCATTAACCCAGCCTGTATTTGTTCAAGTCTGTAGAACAGCAAATGCCTTGCTGTGATCAGCAAAACATTTACTAGGGTGTTTCGGATCTCACTCAGTTTACTTAAGAGCATAGGTTTTTATATCAGGGATTGATTGATTTATTCAGTGGTATTTTTCACCTCACAAAAGAGAAGCTAAAAAAAGGAAATATTTGCAAAGTAGATTTTTTTTTGTCTTCACTCTTTCCTACTTGGATTTCCCCACCTCCTCCCCTGACCTCCTTAACTGTGTTTTCATTTTCATCCAGAACTGAAGGTTGTTCAGTTGGAAACTCTCGGGGGCTGGAAAATCCAAGGGACTGAGATTCTCAGATAGAGGGAATGGCAGGAATGGGCTGGGCTCAGGAAGTGAGTAGCACCAGATCCTGAAGATCAAAGTCGATAAGTAGGTGACATGAGGCAGCAAGCAGAGATCTGAGAGCAGGGGTATGGGAGTTTGGTGGGAGAAACATGAAAAGCAGCTGCTGCAAAGGGGGGAAAGAAAGGACAAGCTTGGTCAGTCGCATTAGGAATCAGTCTACAGGGGCTGGAGTGATAGTACAGCAGGTAGGGTGTTTGCTTTGCACATGGCTGACCTGGGTTTGATTCCCAGCATCCTATATGGTCCCCTGAGCACTGCCAGGAGTAATTCCTGAGTGCATGAGCCAGGAGTTACCCCTGTGCATCGTTGGGTGTGACTCAGAAAGAAAAAAAAAAGAATCAGTCTATAGAAACAGCAAGAATGATGAGCCATGAGGTTGGCACCCTTGCGCCTTCAGACCTGGAATTCTTTGGCGTTTCTATACAAGTTAAGCTCCACCCAGAAGCTTCGTGAGGATGGGTAGCAGGATGCTGAGTGGTGATGCCCCAGAGTCCACTTGTAAAAGCAGGTCATGGGTGTGTCTGCCTGGAAGGAAAGGGAGGTGGCCTGGGACAGTCTTGACACCTAGGGAGGGAGGTTTGGGATATGTGGCAACACGGGCTCAGTGAACACTTTGCTGATCTCTGCATGTTCCGTGACTCACAGGTGGTGGCGGTAACACACTCATCTTCCAGGCAGAAAAGCTGCAGGGCCAGGGCTGGGCCGGAGTCAAGGGCGCTGAGTGTGCGCTTCATTTGGGATCATCAGCAATGCTTTTGTCCCCATGGGTTAGTTACTCTGCATGTGTTCTCTCATTTAGCCAAAAGGCAGTATAAGAAGCCCCCCTTATGGGGTAGAGAGGGTAATAAATACTGCTGGAGAGAAATATAGTACAAGCGTTAAGTCACTGGGGTATTGCATGTGCCTTGCATTCTGCCAGCAACAGTTTGTTCCCAGGCACTGCATATGGTGCCCAAGTTCTGCCCAGGGTTGTTCTGAGCACAGAGCCAGGAATAGCCCCTATGCACCAAAAAACAAAACAAAATAAAAGCTATTATTTGTCTTCAGTACAAGAATCTTAGGTCTCTTTTTTGTTTTATTTTCAGTGTGTGCGTAGAAGGCAAAATAGAGATTTAGTTGCAAAGTAATGTATTTATTTGCAAAGAAATTATTTTATTTCTAACGGTGATTTATTGGGTGAGAGTGCTTGACCACACCCAGTTGTGTTCAGGAGTGACTCCTGGTGGTGCTGGGGATCCCAACCAGGGTCATGCTGTAAACCACGTGCAAGTCAAGCGCCTTCTTTTAGGCCTTTGGCATAGTTTAAGTGATGACTAATGTTTTCTTGAAATACCTGTTTCATATACCTATATACCCTTGATCAAGTAAAAAGTTCTCAGGTGAAAAGAGGTTTAAAAAAAGAAGGTGAATGGGGAAAGTTTAAGGAACCCTAGTTTAATTAACTTGCATTTATAATACACTCAGATATATGATGAGTGTCTGCTTGTATGTTTCTGTTTTTTTTATTTTCCTTTTTATTTATTCATTCATTTATTTATTTTTTATTGATTCACCGTGAGGTATAGTAACAAAGCTTTCTTGTTTGAGTTTCAGTCATACAGCCATCAAACACCATTCCCTTTACCAGTGCACATTTTCCACCACCAAAATTCCCAGTAGCCCATCCCCTCCCCCCATTCCACACCTCCCCCTGTCTGTGTGACAGACAATTTTCACAATACTCTCTTTCTCTACTTTAGTTACTTTTGATATATTGAGACCAGACCCACCACCACTCACACCTGCCAAAAAGGGAATGCTAGACAATGTGATTTGTATTGTTTGTTATGGATGCAATAAAATGTTGCACTGCCATGAGCTCTAGGAATTCTAAAATTCAGAGTCCCATGGGGCGGGGGGTGGGGTGGGGAGCGAGGAGAAGTGCCCACTCCTCCCCTGTCCCGTGAGGCCTGGCGTTTGGCGCCACTGTCACTCATACCTAGAGCTATCGCTGGCTTCTAGAAAATGGCGACCACCGGAGTTCCTAGAGGGCAATCGGAGGGATGGCACCTGCCCCTGTCTGGAACTGCCCAGCGGAAATGGCCTATTGCAGAGTCCAGGGCCCTCTCTGCTGCAAGTTGCTCGGGTTCGAGGTTTGTGTGTCCTGCTTTGGAAGTTTTGAGATTAGGAAATTTCCAATAAATTATTTATACTTAAGTGCCTTTGTCCTTTCTTTAGGTATTAGTACAGAATTACATTGTGTACTTTTATTTATATTATCAAATTAGATCAACTTAGAGAAAAAGAATTTTACTTTAAGAATTTCATTTTTCTGCACTGGTGAAGGGGACAGGTGTTGAAACACTGTATGACAGAAACCCAATCATGAACAACTTTGTAACTGTGTATCTCATGGTGATTCAGTTTAAAAAGAAGTTTCATTTCTCTTCACACTTCTAATCATATTTTTGTCAATATATTTATATATAATTAAATTATTTCCTGCACGTTTGCATAAAATGATATGATTTATTTAGCTTTTGAAAAAAATAACTTTTATGGTGTTGTAACCTTTGAATTATAGTCTTCTTGATTGGGCCAATAATATTTTAATTTTTCATTATTGAAAATGTTCTTACTACATATGAACATGTTTAAAGCAGTCAATATGGGGTTGATTCCTCAGGGCATTTTCCCCAAAGGGAGGTTAACAAGTCAGAAGGGCAGGAATGGACTCAGAATTTCCCTTACACATTGCCCCTCTTTTTCCAGAAAGGGTGAACTAATTCCATACCACTGTCAGCGAATATATAGGACACAGCCCCAAGTTTTAGTCAGTCTGAGCACACATGAGTATAATTACATTTCTGCCCCGCAGGGTTTCACTGCACAGATAGCTCTCATAAGTAAACTCAGTATGTGGACTTTGGAATTACAGAACTGATAAAGCCTGTAGCTAATTTGTTCTTCGAGAGTGGAGTCTTTAAGTTAGAGCTTTTGGACCAAAGAACACACTGCATTGACGTGGAGCCCCCTTTTGGACAAGTGTGGTACTGTGCTCACTCTCAGATCCGGAACAGGGCAAGGCCCACAGTTTCTGCCAATGGGTTGTCAACCTGCCAGGAGTTCTGGACGCTTTTTAGACTCTGGAGTGAGGTATACTTTGGAGTCTGGCCTATAGTGAAGGAGAGGGGATGTTAAGTGTATTTCCTGAGACTACCAGTCCTCAAGCTCTGTGTCTCCTGGGCAGTTGCTCACAGGAAAACTTCCTCTTGAAAATGCCAGCTCAAGGGTATTGGGGTGATTCCCCCCACCCCCACCCCATATGACAGCACTTTAAATTTTATGATAAAGCCAATAGATACTGCAGGTTCTGTGGAAATTTATGAATTCTATACAGCTGTACTTTTCGGGTCTTAAAAGATTTCTTTGCCTTGCTTCTGACAGGGGAAAAAACGTAGCCTTTTCCTTCAGAAATAAATTTTTCTCATTTCTCATGCATGCTGACATAGCATTGTACCTTTGCCAGCTTCCCCAGTGACTTGCAAAAACCCTATAACCTAAATAGAAAAAGTGCAGCAGCGCTGGTAGAACGAGCAAGGAGTGCACAGGCCGTGGGAGACTGAATCTGTAGCAGTGCGTTCAGGAAGACCGAAAGGAAAACAGAGAGGGCCATTGATTCAGTGTTTGATTATTGTAAAGTGTAGCCTTAACATGAATTTGAAAGGAAGTAAATTAATGGTTGTTATAAGAATTCTAAGTCATATAGTTAAATTGAAGCAGAGTTCTAAAATAGAATCTCTAGGTATCAGTGTAGTATAGATGAGCAATGGAGGTAGGAACTATTCAAATGCCAGCGGTGCTCTGGGAAGGACCACCAGGGTGCTCCTGACTTAATATGGGATTTATTTTTTACTGTCAAATAGTTTCCTTTGGTGGTAAAATATATGTAGCAGAGTGTGTCATTTTAAACATTTTTAAGACTCTCATTCAGCAGCATTAACTACATCACAACACTGTGGAGCCATCACCGCTATTTTTAAACCTTCTCATCACCTGAACCAAAACTCTGTACTTAAGGGCTTTATTTTGTAATTGGTTAACTCAGTTCTTTCCCCTGACTTGAAGAAACAGGGTTCACACTCCCTCCCTCCCCTGGTTTCAACATCTGCCATCAGTTCGAGGTGTTTCTGCTCAGTGTGTGTCTCGTTCTCCTCGGTTCCTGCTCTTCCTTCCTCCTTGGTTGGTGGAGGTGACGCCTGTCCATGCACAGAGGGAGGGGGATTATTCTTTCAGAGGTTATGAGCTGAACTGAGCATCCAATTCACTATTTGTAGGAGACCATGAGGATTCTTGTTTCGCAATGTATTTTAAAATGAAAAAGCACTATTATGTTCTTGATAATGTAGGAAAAAATTAAGAACCTGTCATCACTCTGAATACAAAAGTGAAAACTATTTTTTCATATTTATTTTAGTCTGTTGCACATGTTTTTGACACAGTTGATAGTTATGTACCTAACTGTACACTGGTATAAATTGACTTTTTCATCTAATATATCACTGTTTTTGCTCAACAGTCTTCAGAATAACAGACCCAAGAATGCAGGTAGCTTCATACCACAGTCTTTGACTTTCCGGTTGTCAAAATGCATAATGATCACAAACAAGCAGCACCTGAATCTTTCTTTAGGCTAGCCCCTCAGTTTTAAAAAAAATTTTTTTTAACCAAACCTCTAGGTCCTTTATTTAGACAATGAAAGACATTTCCCCCCACAGTAAAAATTACACTAAATTAGTATCAGGGACTTTTAATGAAATAATTTCCTAACTTGGAGATAATCAAATAATGGAAACTCTGTGTGCCCATCAGTTTTACTCATAATTGTTTGGCTATTTAAAGGTAACAATTGATTTTCACTTTTTAAAAAAAAATTTTTTTATAATGAATCACTGTGAAGTACAGTTACATACTGACAAACTTCCGTGTTTGCATTTCAGTCATACAATGATGGAGTACCCATCCAACCCCCAGTGCCCATTCTCCACCACCAATGATCCCAGTGTCCCTCCCACCACTCCTACCCCTTCCCCCTCCCCCTCCACCCTGCCGCTGTGGCAGGGCATTCCCTTTTGTTATCTCTCTCCTTTTGGGTGTTGTGGTTTGCAATAGAGGTATTGAGTTAGCCCCTTCATTTTATTCTTATGAGGAACACAAAAGACGCTGACATTTATCTCCCATGGTTCCAGCTTCTCCCGTGGCAATTTGGTACAAGCTGGGTGACTCGTGTTTGGTTTGGTTCTAGGTTGTGAAAATCTTAGAGAAGCACGACCCCTTGAAGAACACCCAGGCTAAATACGGCTCCATCCCTCCCGATGAGGCCAGTGCTGTGCAGAATTACGTCGAGCACATGCTCTTCCTGCTTATCGAAGAGCAAGCCAAGGATGCTGCCATGGGGCCGATTCTGGAGTTTGTGGTCTCTGAGAACATCATGGAGAAACTCTTCCTTTGGAGCCTGAGGCGGGAGTTTACTGATGAGACTAAAATCGAGCAGCTGAAGATGTATGAGATGCTGGTCACCCAGTCCCATCAGCCTCTGTTACACCACAAACCCATTCTGAAGCCCCTGATGATGTTGCTGAGCTCTTGCTCTGGGACCACCACCCCCAACGTGGAGGGAAAGTTGGTTGTCCTGCTCAACCAGCTCTGTTCCATCCTTGCCAAAGATCCATCCATTCTGGAACTCTTCTTCCACACTAGCGAGGACCAAGGGGCAGCCAACTTCCTCATCTTTTCCCTTCTGATTCCCTTCATTCACCGAGAGGGGACTGTCGGCCAGCAGGCCCGGGACGCTTTGCTCTTTATCATGTCTCTCTCGGCAGAGAACACTGTGGTGGCTCATCACATCGTGGAAAACACTTACTTCTGTCCAGTAAGTCCCTCTCCTTGTCTTGTTTCGCACCCACCCCTCTTCTCTTCTCCTGTGCTTTTCTTAGTTCTTTTCACTTAAATTTTTTTTTTCTAAAAGAAATCTGGGAATCTTAGGAATCTTAGGGGCCACACCCAGGACTGCTCAAGGTTTGCTTCTAAGTAAGGGGAGTGCTCAGGGGATCAGAGATAGGGTTCGGGTTAACTGCATGCAAAGCAAGTGCATTAACCCCTAAACTGACTCTCCAGCCTGATCCATACTTTCTCTTCTTTCTTTTCAGTGAGTTGTCACTGTCACTGTCACTGTCCTCCTGTTGTTCATCTATTTGCTCAAGCGGGCCCAGTAATATTGTGAGATTCGTTACTGTGTTTGGCATATCGAATATGTCATGGGTAGCTTGCCAGGCTTTGCCGTGTGGGTGAGATAATCTCAGTAGTTTGCTGGGTTCTCCGAGAGGGTTGGAGGAATGGAATTTGGGTTGGCCATGTTGGCCGCATGCAAGGCAAACGCCTTACCCGCTGTGCCATTGCTCCAGCTCAGTGAATTGTATCTTGTAAATTCAGTGTAAAGATGTTTAAAGGAAGTCTTTGGGACTGGAGCAGAGGTTCTAAGTTGAAGTACTTTTAGGCTGAGTAGTGCCAATGGAGGAAACTTTAGGTGTTTCCAATTCTTGGTTTCTTTCTGTTTGTTTAGAACTGTTTTAGGTGTTTTTATTTTTTTAAGAGCACATCTTGAATCATTGATAAAATCTGCACTTTCTTTGTTATTAGCTTTACAGGTTGATTTTGAGCCAATGAATCATGGCATGTGGGGAGACCCCTCACAGCTGGTTTTCCAAATTAATTTGTTTCTCAGCAAGATAATGACCGTAATTGTCGACCCGCAGCACGGACTTTATCTAAAAAATACATATTTATGATTTGAGATAGTAAGAAGCACTCAACTCTGTTTAGTTTTTAATCATTGGTATGGTGAAAAATAAAGTGGGAGGTGCTTTGCAGGTGTTGAACTAACCCAGCCTCAGTCACAGCTCCAGAAAACCATGGGAACTCTCAGGGACTCTTCAGTTGCTTTAGGGACTGGGGAGACAATACAGTGGATAGAGTGCTTGCATTCTATGTCTGAGGTTTGATCCCCAGCACCACACGTGGCCCCCCCAGGCCCCACCAGGGAGTGATCCCTGAGTGCAGAGCCATGAGTAAGCCATGAACACTGTTGGGTGTGGCCCCCAAATAAACAAAACAAAATGGTTTAGGGCTCTGATTATTTTTTGGTGTTAGTACTGCTTTTGGAAGTGAGATTTAAATGACAGATTTAGGAGCCAGAGAGATATTACAGTTGGTAAGGCTGACTAGAGTTTGATCCCCGCCATCCCACATGTTCCCTAACCTAACCTCTCCAAGAGTCATCCTTGAGTGCAGAGACAGGAGTAACTCCTGTGCATTGCCAGGTGTGACCCCAATCTTGCTCCCTACCTGACAAATTTATAGATATTTCTTATAGATTGAAAGATAAGTTGGACAACTATTTTATTTACCAACTCAGTGGACATTTCTAGTTTATTTCAATTATCTGTGATTTTATTTTCAAAGCTACTTTATTATATTTATAAATTAAATTGGCTCTGATATTCCTGATTCTGCTTGAGTAGTGTATAAGACAATTAGTGAGTTTTATTGGGACAGGCCAGGCAAGTCACGCTAAGAAGATTTATTGTTAATTAACACCATGTGGGTGGGTCTTGACCGGGCTGAGGGCATCTAGAAGTATCTAAAAGTGTATGTAGGATTGCTTTGGTTGTCATAGAGACCCTGAGTGACTATGGAAGTTCATGCCCACTTGTTTTATATCAGTTTTGCACACTGGAGAATCATAACCATAGTAAATAACATACTGAAGTTTTCTCTGACATTCAAAAGCAATAATCTTTATGCCGCTGTATATTTATTTTTACTTAAAGAACCAGGATTTTTTAATGTCCGGTGAATATTTGAGTAAAAGCTTTGAAAAATAGAATTTCAATTAAGAAGTTCGGGTTACTATGAGTGTCTCTTGGGTTCTTCCACTGATAGAAGAAATTGTGCCAAGATTGATAGTCAAATGGGAAGTAAAAAAGTGATTCTGGGAAGTAAAAAAGTGATTCTGTTCATGTGTTCCAGCATATTAAATCTCCCTTATTTCATTTATCTATGCATAGTTCCTTACAAGCTGTTTTTAAAGACTATATCTTGGGCAAAAATGGAACTTCTCACCCTGATTCCAAACATCTCTCAAATATATTATTGGTATTAGTTTTCTAGGGCTCTTATAATAAATTAGCCAAAACAAAACAAAACAAAAAATCCTGCTAGTGCTTTAGACTCCCCATATTTATTGTCTTATTGGTAGTAGTATCTTACTATAGGTTCAGAGTCCGATAAGTCCCACTAGGCTAAGATGTTGGCCAGGGCTGTGTCTCTTTATGGAGGCTTTGGGTCTTTTCCTTGCCTTTTCTAGCCTCTGAGGATGGTCCGCCTTTCTTGTCTCTTGGCCTCTTTCCTATGGTTTCACAGTCCATTGTCCAGTACTGTTCTAACTTCTGTAATTATACCTCCTGGTCTTCACTTTTATGGGTCCTTGTGATTGCAGTGGGTTTACTGGATCATCCAGGCTAATCTCCCTTATTTAAAGATCCACTGTTTGGTAACCTGAATTCCTGCCGGAGCCTTTATTCATTCCCCTTTGACATGTCACCTAATGTGTTTGCAGGTTGAAGGATTAGGGTGTAGAGAGACTTCTCAGGTTGGAGGGGTTGGGGTGGGGGAACATCATTCTGCCCGATAGGATTGCTGCATCCATTTGGAGAGCTCTTGAAATATGGTCAAGAACACAGTATATTTAGTGTTGTTTTAGAAATGTAATCTGTGTAGGTGGGTAAATTTGGGAGATGCTGAGGTATAGTAGGAAGATAGTAGGAAGACACATTTGTGTGTAGAGAAGGGAGTGGCAGGAATGAGGATGAAAAGATGAGTATGTATAATGTTATGGATAGGAATAGTTTCATGAGGAAATTCTACCCAGTTTGCGCTTTGGCTTATTTGAATTGTTTTGGGTTGTTCTCTTGGTAAAGAAGTAACACAAGTATTGAAACAAGTGATCAAAATATCCAGATGGTTCATCTAATCATTATGCCAAAGACAATTTAAAAAATGCCATTTACAGAAACAACACAATCCTGAGGCATCTGGAATATATAGAAAAATATGTGAGGGCCAGAGAGGTAGTACAGTGGCTAAGGGGATTGTCTTGCATTTACAATAAACCAAAAATTGGAATTAAGAATAATAACACATTACAAATCTTTGCAACATAAAATTTAACACAAAAAATGACAAATAAATGTTTAAAATATTTTTTAAAGTTGTAATACTACAAATAAGGAAACAGTGAAAAAAACTTCTTAGAAAAGTGGCGAAGACTATGAAGAGAGCTCCAAGAATAAACCAAAAGCCAATAAACATAAAATATAATCTGTTTTTTAAATCAGGGAAATGCAAATTGAACTCACAAGGAGATACTAGATTATTCTCTTCAATGTGACTAACTTCAGACATCTGAAAACAGCAAGTGGGTTGTTGATATTTACAAGGATGCATGTCCAAAAGTATTCAATAGAATGGAGATTTGAGGAAGATAAAAAATAGAAATGCATTAAGGGGAAAGATAAATTAAGTGGGTTTAATCCTGCATCAGTGGATTACTGCTTAGTATTCAAAACAGAATGAATCAGGTGTAACTGCATGTATAAAGGTGAAGTTTAGTAAGTCTTAAAGTGTGTAGGAAGAGTAAAACAAGGTTACATAATATATTTGCATAAAGCTAAAATCTGAATTTTAAATACACATGTATATAGTGAATGTAAACTTAGGCACAGGAATGTGAACTAAAGTCATATGAACTAGTTTGTGGATAAAAGGATGAGGAATATAATGGGATTATAGCATGACTTAACTCTATTTGTAAAGTTTTATATTTTTGAGAAAATGAAGAACATCTGGAAAAAGTTATGGCAACATATTAATATCTGTTAAATGTGGGGATGGTTTTCTATTGTTTTGTACATTTATAATTTTCATATTTAAATATACTAGGATGAGACTAGAACATGTTTTTAGTGTTGAGATTTTCACTTACGATAAACAGATTTCACTGAGTAATTGTAGCTTTTATAGAGACGTGTTTGAAAACTCAATACAGTTCATTAAAACGAGAGGGAAAAACCACCTCTCCAGCTGACCTTATTTGTTAGAATAGAACACAGAGCTTCATTGTGTTAAGTTGCCCCTCAGGATAGATCCCATAATCTCATTTGTCCCCCATTTTCTATAATTACATCTGACAACATAATTTAAAAAAGGTTTCTTTATGTTGAAGATAAAAAGCATACTCTATTAACCATCCGGCTAAGGACCACAATTGACAAAAAGCTTTCTCTAATTGGTATGATTGTCAAAGTATGTTAGCATCAGACTTTTGGAAGAGTAATGACTCCATCAGGAAACTGGACCACTTTGGAAAACTTTGACTATAGTTGGAGGAAGTGCCTGCTAGTTCTATCTCAGGATGAACTTTCCCAGGGGAAAAAGCAGAACAATGCTCTGGGATGGGATGGGGGGACAGTTCGGTGCCAGAAATCATGTAGAGACTGACTGACCCTATCTTCTTTCTATTTATTTTGTTTTCGTTGTTTTCAGGCCGTATCTGCCAGTGCTCAGGGCTTACCTCTCATTCTGTGCTTACTCTGACCACGCTCTGGGGGCCTGTGGGAATGAACTGGAGTTTACCAAGTGCAAGGCAAGCACCTTTAATCCCAGTATTTTCTCTCCCATCTCTGATATTTGTTTGTGGTTTTTGACCAAAGATTGAAGACCACCAAGTCCTTGTCACATGTCACATAGTGACCAGAGAGGAAAGCAGCCCATCCATGCATTGAGAAATGCAGATGGAAATATACAACTTTTAAGCACACTGCCGCTGGTAGAAAATTATTTATCCCATATCCAAAATTTATGAGGCTTTTTATTTTGGTAAGTTGTATCAAATGGTCCCCACCAGGTGTTCTGTTGCTAGCTTCAGACTAAAGCCATCTGTTCGAGAGCCTTTGTTTTTGCTAAAATTAACTGGCTACCATTGGATGTTGAAAGGTACAGCCAGACCTCTCCTGAGTTGTTTGCAGTGCTCGGTGCCTATGCTATTTTTTCCCTCCCTGGGAAGCCTGGCTGGGCCATCACGGGTTCACTCTTTTCTTTAATCCTTGCAACCAGTCACTGAAGAAATGGAAGCATAGAGAGCTGAAGCACTGCCTATAAAATGGCCAACCATTTGGATCTGCCACTAAAAACCCCCAGTGTCGACAGCTCCAAGGCCTCACTCACTGGTGGGGCAGCAGGAAGTTTGCTTTTGGACTCATTTTCATCTCATGACTTTATGTGGTGATGTTCCTATAAGGCTCCTTAAAAAAAATTGGGGTGGTGTGGAGAGGTACAGGGGTTAAAGTGCTTTCCTTGCCTGCAGCAATACCTCATTTGATCCCCAGCACTGCGGTTGCTCTCCCAAGCACTGCCAGGATGATCGCTGAGCCAGGGGTTAGCTCCAAACACTGCTGGGAGAGATAGTCCCCCACATCAGGGTATAATTGACCTGTAACCCCATGTTACCCAAGTACAATGTTTGTTGCTTGTATATTTCTAGATCCTCTTGAGAAGATAAAGGAAAATGTCAGATTAATGCTATATTGGAAAGAAACATAATAGTTCACAGTGACTTCTTTTATGGTCAGGATCCCAAAAGAACTAATATAGTGAATGAACATTTTGTCTTTTATTTTGTTGCTCTTAAGTTAAATGAAATTTAACAGGAAATATGTTGTGCTATAAAGTTACCTGGAGGCAACTTCTGTAGCTCTGCCTCTCCTTCCCCTTGTGGTGCCAGCATCCTCTGTATCCCTTGTGTGCCAGCTGTTAACCCTGGAGCTCTGTGGACCCCCCAGAGAGGGCACCTACCTCTGAAAAATAGACTCCTTGCAGTTGATGGAGCTGGTCCTCTGTGCATTTTGGGTCTGAATTTACAGGTTCACCCAGCTCTCATCTATGACTGGTTGACACCATGAACATGGCACTGGAACCCAGAGTGGTACAGCCCCTGTGCAAGGTCAGAGCCGTATGGTTCAAGGTCAACGCATATCTGTTGTCTTCAGCATCTTTTCTAGCTAGACTTGTCATTAATTCCCCAGCACCAGTCTCCTGCGAGCCGGGCCCACAGGCAGTGTTGCAGCACAGCAGGGCTCTGGGTGAAAGTATCGAAACCCCAAGCAAAGCCTTGGAAGGGAGGATTGAAATATTGAATGGCCAGGGACGGAACCTTGCTCCTTCAGCTGTGGGAGCAGTCTCATTCCGCAGCGTCCTCTCCTCCGTGTGCCTTGCTCTCTCATTCGAAGAAAGAGCAAGACAAGCCCTTGTGCCCCTTGCTAGTGTGCAGAACAGGGGAGGAGCAATTACTGTGCAGCTCAGCTGGCATTATCCTCACAGGCAGCCTCCTTTGGCATCTCAGCCATGCCTCTCCCCACAATACTCTTAAAAAAGTGGATATTAGGTATGTGTTATTTTTAATTACTGTCACTGATGTATGTAATTTGAAAATTAATGTTGCTGTAATTATATTGATATGCTGAATACTTATTCCCAGCTTTTTAGTCAGACAAATTAAGCCTGTCTTTATGAATTCATCTTCAAAGGCTCAAAGTGGTTAAGGAATCAGGAGTATGCAGAATTAGAGCCTTTGTTCTGTGGTTAATTTAGCATGAGTTAGCAAATGTAATTGATTTAAAAAAATGTGGCATCAAGATCAGATTTCCCTTCAAGGAGAACTTCTGGTCTCTGTTCTTTCTTGCCAGGGGTTTCTAATTTATAATAGGCAACTCGCTCGGGTCACATTGAAAACTGGAATTAAAGTGATTTGTTTGGGTGTGTTGACAAGGAGTTAAATACTTTAAATAGGGGACATTCTCTTTTGGGACCACAGATGCCCTGATTTTGCAAAAAGAGATAAATGTGCTCTTTAGTTAACTGTTTAGTTTTCTGTACTGAGCATGGTGCCTGGCTTAAAGTCAGTGCTTGGTAATTTTTTTTCTAACTGAGTGAATGGACAGGTTACTAGCAGAGGAATGCCAATAGTCTGCTGATTTCTGCCATAGTGCAGTGGGTCCTGTATTTTTCTCTCCACCCTTTCTACTCCATCATGGGTTCCTACCATCTCTCTACACCACTCCCTCTCATGAATCTTTCTGCATTTTCTTCTCTCAGACCCTCAACTTCTCTCCCCCAGGTTGGGCCTGTGCTCTGTTGTTGAGTTTTGTGTGGTCCTCTGGGGAGATAGTCCCTCTGGGGAGATCTGAAAGCCAAGATCTCCAGCTGGACAGGCCTTCCATGCTCCATGCTATGGTCTGGTGCAGCCGGCAAGTCAGAGGCAGAAGCATGGAAGAGGTAGCGAGTGGTTAAAGTTATAGAGCTACAAGTGGACCCCGACAGGGGGTACAGAGGTGCTGCCACAACAGGTCAAGAAGAGATGAATGTGTATAATTTAGCTAAGCTCTGCATGCCTGGATCCAGACTTCCTGACTTGGATCCTTCTGTTTTATTTTCAGACCACACCTGGCAGTGCTCAGGAACTACTCAGGAGTCACTCCTGGCATTTCTCAGGGCACCAGGGACCATGTGGTGCTGGGGATTGAGCTTAGGCATGCACTCAGCCCACTGAGTGCTCTCTCTCTCTCTTTCTCTCTCTCTCTCTCTCTCTCTCTCTCTCTCTCTCTCCCCTCCCTCTCTCCACCCCCAGCCCCCAACTTCATTTCTTATACCAGTACAAAGGATTATTTTGTCAGGCTTCATTCATTTCAACTTCCCTTTCCTTCTCCTCTCTGGTCTGTGTGGCTCCCACCCCTTCTCTGTCTTGGTACGCCACTGCTGAGTGTCACGTCACACATCATGTCTAGGCCTCTCACTTTGGTTCCCTTGCTCTTTACTGTGGTCAGCAGAACCCTGTAGGAGTGGCGCCTGCTTATCCCACCAGGCCACTTCTGCCTCTAGTTCTCCATGCTGCACTTCTCTTGGTTCTGGGGACTTACCATCTTTCCTTTGTCCTGTTAAATTTTTGTGCCAAATGGCTAGTCCACAGGTTAAAAGAGGCTAAAAGCCACTGCATGAAAACACCCCCATTTCCCTAATGGGTTACTAGCCAAGCTGGGTGACTCAAATGAAGTCCACTTGGTTTGTGGAGTGGAGTTGTGGGGGAGGGAAGCCTGGAGCCCTGGGATATTAGAACACCTCACAGCCACCTCCCAAGAGAGCCTCCACTTTGTCTCCCCCTATTTTTGTATTGAGGATCTTAGCCTAGACACCTGTTATCTGTCTGGACTACTAGAGCCACATCCCACTGTGACCCTAGTTCTTTCTCCTTTCTTTCTTTTGTGTAGATCAGTTAAGAGAATGTTCAGGAACGTGTTTCGGAATATGAGCATGCAGGCATCTGGCCCATTTGCGGAAATCTCCCTTGTAAAGCTACTCAGGGTTGCTGCCCGTGAGACCTTCTGTCCAGGCCCCCTTTGTGTGCAGGGCTTCCCGCCAATCACTGAGTGGTTTTCTCTGTGTTTTCATGTTTCACACTTGTTCACCAGAAATGAACTTGTACCTCTCACAGACTTGGGAAAGGGAGTCTGTGGTTGGCAGGAATCGGGTTTTTCCTCCTTCTACCTCTTCTTCTTCCTCCTCAACCTATACCCAACAGTTCTGAGGGCTGCTGTTAGTGCTTGGAGGATTGCTCCTGGAAGTGATCAGGGGACAGTGCCAGGCTAGGGATCAAACCCTGTCTTCCGCATGCTAACCTTGCATCCAGCCCATTGAGCCATCTCTCAAACCCAGGTTTTCTTCATCTTGACAAGTGTCAAGATTGTCAAGCAACCGACATATGCCTGCAACTTCAGAGACTAAAGGGAACCACGTTTGCAGTACATGCCAGATGCTTCTGACACTGCCCTGTCCTCTGTTGAGTTGTCCTTTCCTACTGTCTCTCCTTATTATGCCCCACCCCACCTCCCATTTCCTAGCCTGCTGACATCTTGAACACCTTTCACACTCAGAACCTGGAGTGCGGGCTTTAGGCCATTGTCATGGGAGATGCAGGTGAAGCACGTCAGGAGTGAGTCGATCACGTTTGTTTCTTCATTCAGGTCCTCGCAACTGGGCTCAGCGGTCTCTACTCCTCACTGCCGACCAAGCTCGAGGAGAAAGGCGAGGAGTGGCACTGCCTCCTGAAGGATGACTGGCTCCTGCTCCCGCCTTTGGTCCAGTTCATGAACTCGTTGGAATTCTGCAATGCTGTCATCCAGGTACTGGCTGTCACAGTCTTCGAGAGCAGAATTCAGGCACTGCAGAGGGTGGCCAAGCAGTGCTGTCTTGCTTTAGCCAGTATTTTACAGGATACTGATGCTTCAAGTATCTCAGATGCCCTTGAAGGAGTAAAAAATATTAGTTTAGAAGCTTTAGAGAAGTTTTAATTGAGAAAAAAATGAGTAGATTTTCTTTATCTTGCTTATAAAAAAGTGTTAATTCTATTTTGATTATCCACTTAACCATCAAAAATAAGTTCAGTGCCTGACTCATTAAATAGATATTTTTAGGCTTCTAAGTACTGCAAATTATACCACTTTTACTTCAAGGTCTTCTTGGGAGTCTACAAAGGAAAACACTTTATTTTGCTTAATGGTGCATAGTACATAAAGAATATTGTTATCCCAATTGAATTTAGAAGAAGTTAAGCATCTTCTTAGCAACACAAATTAAATTTGCTTTAAAATTGGCCTGTTTGGGGGCGGGGTAGGACTGAACTCTAGTATATTTGGCTTTTTGATTAGATTTTTACCTTCAGATTTCTTTTACCATTTTCAGTAAATATCAGGAATATATATGTATATATACACACACATATACATATATAAATGTATTGGATTTTCATTAAGAATGTGGTACTTCTAAACATTATAAATATTGCCTTAATATTAGATATATGAAGAATCCACATTTTCTTTATGGTGAGTGTAAGGTGAAAAATGTTAGTTGTAATCTGTTTATCTACCAAATAGAAAAATAGCTTCTGAAAGAAAATGTAAGCAAATTAGTTCCCATATCTTTTTTATTGCTAAGTCAAAGGAAATTTTATTTATATATAAGTTAAATAAGTTACATCATAAATTATTTTTTCCTTGAATATTACAGTCTATCAACATTTTCTTATAAAAGTGTGTGAAAATAAAAAACACAGAACTATTAGTTTTCCCCTAATGTACACATATAGAGAGAGATTATCATTAATTTAAAGACCTAGTTTCACTTTCAGAGAAATTGCTTTTTACTTTATTGTTTGACTCTACTATTTTTTTGAAGGAAAAGTAGTAGAGATAACAGCATAGTTAAGAATAGGATAATGATGTATTTCATATTATACATTGAAATTGAATTTTTTTTGTTTGAGGGTAATACTGAAGATGCTACTTTAAAAATAATATACATAAAGGGCTCTCTATTGCTAAATATATTTTGGAAATCAAATCTAGAAATCGTTAATACTATAACAGTGTTTTCTGCTACCCCATGGTATTTTTGTAAAAGGTTTTTTGAATATTTTCTTTAGTATGTGATCCAAAAAAAAAGCAGTTTGAATTTTTTCCCTTTCCTTTTCTTTTTTAACTTTGGGGTAGAGGATCTACACCCAGCTGTGCTCAGGAATCACTCTTGGTGGCACTTAGGGGACCATATGTAGTTCAAGGTCTGGACCCAGGTTGGCCATGTTTAAGGCTGGTACCATACCCCCTATGTTGCCTGTGGTCCTAATTATTCGTTAACTGTGGAGTAAATGTCCAAGCTTTGTATTTCCTTTTTGAACTCAGGTAGAACACAGAAATGTTTGATTTAAAAAAGACATGAGGACTCAGCTCTTTGTCTCGTTCCTGACGGCCTATTTCTTTCCCAGGTTGCTCATCCGTTAATTCGAAATCAGCTCGTCAATTATATTTACAATGGGTTCTTGGTACCAGTCTTGGCTCCTGCTCTCCATAAGGTCAGTAACTGGCTGATGTAACATTTCATCCATTTGTAGGATAACTGATGGGAATTGAGGAGTGGGATCATGGTGGAACCCATGCAGCCATGACTTTAGCCTTATTGTTTTCTTCATTCTAGCATGTTTTCCTCATTTCCTCATTTCCTCATTACTCACTTGATCCTTAGCAAGATCAAACCCAGTTCTTAACACTTATAACAATTTCAGTCTACTGGTATCCATTTGGTGTCATAATAGGATTTCATGAATGTCAAGGAAGGTGGTCTTAATGAGAGCTGTGCACCATTCTCACTCCTACTTGAGTTCATGGTCTGCAATATGGCTCTTCAGCATCTCCTGAGACTGTGTCTGTCACAGAGATGGCAGGACTTGTATGGACTTGGAGTGGGGCCATGATCACATAAGGGCTGTGGGTTCATCTCCCTTGTAGAACATAATTTTTTATTATAACAATTTTTTGACAGAAAAGAAGAAAGTGAAGCCAAGTTAGGGTCCCATCAAAGGCTAGCTGTCACATTAGAACAACTTTGAATTTCTTAGGAGACTCTCATTTCATATAATAAATCAACTGATAGCATTTCCAATGTGAGTTCTCTGGAGACATCCATGGGGCTAGAATTATAATTTTAAGGAGCTTTTTTTTTTTCTTACTTTTTCTACCTCTCAATAAATAAAGAGAAATAGTATTTAGTTCAGAAGAGCTCAGTTATTCAAGTTATTGGAATTGCCCCTGCCCCCACTTCACCCTGGACAAGGAGGGAAACAAGGAACAGCCTAATACGTGGTTTGGCCCATTTCTCTACATACACAGGTTCCATTTCCTTTTCCTCATTGAAACCCAAGTGCACGTGATGAGTACCGTTCTGAAACCTTGCTAGAGATGCTGATGAGATTTCTTGTCTCAAGCAGCAGCTCTTCATGCAGGCCACTGTCTCTTCCCATTGAGTTCCATTTGAGTACAGTGGACATGTGGCCCAAAGTGTATAGGGTATGTGGCCTGGCTCTGGTCCTTGGGGTCCTGCTAGATTCAAGAGTTAATCTTGGATATGACTTACACATCAAAACAATGAATGTTTCCAGGTTACTTTAGTAGTTGATGGGCAAAAGGGAGCAAGTTCTTTGAAATTCAATGTCTTGAATGATGGGAGCCTTCTCTTTGAGAATTCAAACCCTTTATTTGTCTTTACTTGTCTCCATGTCATTGTTTGGAAGCGCCCAGGTGTTTAAGAGTGGGATTGGTTGTCTGTGCTAAAGGCCTGGGCTCCGCTGGGAAGACCATTCTTGTAAAGTAATTGCCCATCTACTCCACTTATTGAAACTTCCTCCCTCATTTATTCTCCTGCTCTTCTTTATCGGTTTGTTAATATAAAATAATCTCTCAAGTCATTTGTTAGACAATTATAAGACGTTTATAAGACAATTACAGTTATTATTTGTTTAGGACACTTTCTATTGTTAGACTTAGCGCGTTAATATTGCAGATATGAAGGTTAACTCCTTCCCCATGACTAAGGATGAGCTCCACTGCAGAGAATTGTGTAAAGACGTAGTGGGTCACTTTGTTGCTTTTGTAACCCTTCCCCACAGTGGACAAATACACAGTGGAGAGAGCAGTTACTAGTCCTGTCTGTACCACAGTGTGCCTGCTTATTGGGGTGAGCTCACGTAGTTTTTTTGTGCTGGAGCCTCAGTAGCCCAGCACTGCCCCTTCAGAGGCCGTATCAGCAGCTCACCCATGGAATGATTTGATCAAGCCCCAAACAGACTTCTGGTCCAAGAGATCTTCCTGATATTGAATAATTGCCAGTTGATACTGTTCACAGTAATGCCTCTAATGAAATAGGTGGCATTTTCAAGTCCTGAAGTTTTGTTAGTAGATACTATATGTAAAAAACATCCATGATGGGGCTGGAGAGATGGTACAGGGTTTAAGGCACTTGTCTTACGTGTGGCCTACCTGGGTTTGATCCTCGCCAGGAGTGATCCCTGAGCATAGAGCCAGGAATAATCTCTGAGCACAACCAGGTGTGACCCAAAAACAAAAAACAGAAATAAAGTCAAGCTGTGCTGAATATGACTTGAATGTCCAATCCCTAATTAAAATTCCTTCTACCCACTGCAGCCTTTCTCCCAGGACTGTTTAGTGACTTGGGAGTGTAATATCCTCCTTAATTCCTCCCCACCCATCTGTTTCTGTTTTGTTCTCACAACTGAGCTTGAAAAGGTGTAGGAAGGAGGCAGTACAAGGACAGAAGGGAAATAGCCTTGCCTCTCTTCAGCCCCCTGCCATGGCTGATGAAGACAAGAGTCTGTCTGGGATCTGAGCAGCACCCCCAGAGTCCTCATTCACCTGGGGTGACTCTTTCCAACTATGTTCTGGGCTTGTTGGCTGGACAGAGAAACCTTGTCTAGTCTCCTGAGACCCTTTCCTCAGAGCCTTCTCTCAGCCCCAGCCTCTGCACTTTCCCCTTTCCCATGCCCACACAAGACAATTTGCAGAGGAGAACCTACTCTTCCAAGTCTCATCAGTATTAATAAATTCATTCTAATTTTTCCCCTTATTTCGCGGTCGATACTCATCAGCATTTCCCAGTGTTTCTTGATCAGAGCTTAAGTCATTTCAGGAGGGCTGTGGGTGGTAAGGGGGGCACTTGGCAACTTAGTAGTTCCAGGCTGTTGGGTGAGGGGTTGGAAGCTTATTTTGGAAACTTAAGAGAGGACAGTATTGGGGATAGGAGTTCAAACCCTGCTTTGAACTCTCTGAGGTAGAGCAGAGACAGACTTGCTCACAGTGCATCATTCTGGGCTTCCTGACCATTGTGGGCACCTGTTTAGTCTCCTGGGTAGAACAGAGGCACATCTGGTTTTTCCTAAAGAGCTGAGGACTGTTCAGTCATGTGTCTGCAGTCCATTATCCACACCGCCAACTCAAGAAGTTCTGAGAGTAAATACTGTCTACAGTTCATCTTGGTCTGACTTAACCTTGGCTGAACTCATTTGCCGGCAAACCCCATTGATCTTAAAACTATTTGTTTATGTCCTACTTGTGTTAATACTTTTATGCTTGTGGAAGAAATCATAATGTCTTTGATTCTTGGGTGCTGCCCACCCCAACCTGCTGGGTCACTTGGCAAATAGACAATGGACTGTTTTTATGAACATGAAGAGTTTTGAATTCCTGGACATGTAGCTCCCAGGCTGTTGGATGAGAGGTCAGAAGCTTATTTAGGACACTTAGGAGAGGATGGTTTTAGGGATAGAAGTTCAAACCCTACACTGAAAAAGTAAAAATGATACCATTGAGCTTGGGTCCTTTAGGAATTGGATCTGGGCATAGATCCAGATCTTCTGTTGTTCCTAGCTGATTGTTCATGACTTTGAAAGTTCAGACTGTATTCAGCAAGAGCTAGTTTTGTTGTCTCTGTTTAAGTGATCAAAGCTGAATTGTTGCTGCTGCTGCCACAATGGTGCTGGGGATCAAACTTGGGGCCTGACACATGTGCCCGGCCACGGAGCCACATTCTTGGCTCAAGGCTGAATTGTCTTTGGAAAAAGGTAGCTTGGCCTGACTGTAAGTCTGACGGTTTGGTGCTGTGGCCCAACCCTGCGATGCTACTCATCCCCTCAGTGGTGTTGAACACGGGCTTCCACACATACCAGGCATGAGCTCTGGTCCATTAAACTGTCCTCCCAGCCCCCTCAGAGTTAAATGTTTAAGGCAAATCATTCATTGGTGTGGTGGTGTGAATCTGGGTTCTCAGAGAGGTGGGTGCTGAGATTTCCTTTTAATAAAGGAAATGTTGCTGGTGAGAGAGCAAATAGGGAGTTGAGAGAGTTGTCGGAGCATTGTGCAAACCGGACCCAAGTGAGGGAGTGAGGGAGAAGAAGGTAACTGCAAACGGCCTACACTGCTTTGAGAACTGAGGAGGCCTGTGTCTCCAGGGTTCCCCTTCCTAGACCCCGAGACCTTCAGCCTTGGCTGGGAGCAGACTGTGGCAGGAGAAGCAAGTATCAACAGCAGGGGCGCAGGCTCAATCACAGCTCTGGAGGTCAAGGGCTGCAAGGTGTGTTTGCTGAGTTCCACTAATTCCCACAGTTTTCTTGTTTGCTAAAAGAGATGGATGGAAACATTTGCCTAGCTCATATCCTATGCAGGGTATGCAGGTACTCTGTGCGTGAGCCTGGAGGTCTTGGGGTCAGGGTTAGCTGGACAAGGAGCTGAGTGTAACAATTGTCTCTGGAGTTAGTGACCATCACCCTCTTGGGGGAGAAACACAAAGCCTATATGTTTTGCTCACACTGCCTGTCCATCTCGGGTGTGGACCGGCAGGCTAGAGGTAGCTTCTCCTCCCTCAGGGTGCTGGAACCATTACCCTCTGCCACCCACTGTCACCCGTTGTCATTGGGTCAGAGTAGTCAGAACACCAAGACTGTCCTCATGGCCTCCCTCATCTGGAAATGACCTGTGTGCTCTCCACTCAGTGTCTACTGCAAAACTGGTGACCGAGTCTCACCCTCCATTCATTGCAGCTCTCCCCTTTCCCGTGAAGAAGAGTCTGGCATGGCACTTGTGTCGGTCACATTGTGCTTTTGTCAGGGAGATCCCAGACAGAACAAATGATACCACGTTGGGTAATGAGGGGCTGTGTCTGGGATCTGTGACTGAGGCCTACACTGCCCCAAATGCGGCAACTCAAAGCAGCTCTCTCTCTGATGAGTGCAGAACTCACGCCTCACTTTGGACAGTAATGGGCTCAGAAGGAGCAGCTTATCTTCCTGTAGAGGGTGGGCCTCAGCTGTGCTGGGTGTGATGTGACTGTGCTTCCACATACAGACCCTCGCACTTAAAGATGGAGAATATGGAAGATCTTGTATTGCGTTTATTATATCATGATGTGCATTATATTATTTGCAATATTTTTATATCACCATGATAAATGAGTAAGTGGTATTTAAGTATATCAGAGATTGTTTGAATAAAGAGCTATGAGAGAGAC